CTTTCTTTCTTTTTCTTTCTTTCTTTCTTTCTTTCTCTCTCTCTCTCTCTCTCTCTCTCTCTCTCTCTCTCTCTCTCTCTCTCTCTTTCTTTCGTTCTGATGACTTGTAACTGATTCAGTCTTTGGTGGCTACAGGATCATTACCTATTTTATTTTCTTACGAGTAAGTTGGAATCTGAAAGTCTTCATCTTTCCCCAGGCAGAAGATCCTACTCTTCTTTCCCAGATGGGTCTGAAGGTATTGGAAGTGGCATTCAAACTCACTCTCGTTTTGCTCAGAACTCAGCACTTCTGTGTTTTCCAAGGAAGAGCCCCTCTTAGATAGAAAGTCAGGGAGGTTGCTGTTATCATTCTTGTTCATCTGTTCCTCCCAAGTGGGCCTGAACAGGGTTGAGGCGGGCACGACAAACCTGCAGTTTTCCAAGAGGACAGTGGTGTGGACCAAATGGTTGAAGGCGCCACAGCCAGCTAAGAGCTTCCTGGGACAGTTGTTCATCGGAGGCCATTGTCTTTACCTCCTCCCACTGGAAGGGTCTCCAGATTCTCCCAGATCTCCAGGAGAGTCAGGATCAGTAAACCAGCTCCCTGTACCCCTCCCGCTTCCTTCCTCTGCCCAGATCCTTACCCCAACCCTAGGAAGTGACACCATCCTACGTTGTAAGGCTCTCACATAGAAGAGACATATGTGTCCCTTGACTTTTCAGCCTAATGTCACTGTGTTTTGGGGAACCAGAAGGGTACCTGGCGGAAGGAGCAGAGGGCAAAGGTGGCAAAGCATTTCAGGCAGAGCCGCTCCTGGAAGGTGATAGGGGTGGATGTGGTGCAAGGTTCCCTGCTCCCCTTGTGCTTTTCCTGAGCACCTTCCCTGGAAGCCACCACCTGGTCCAGGCTGGATTTACTGCGAACAAATGCTCTTTTGCTCCTTCTGCTGTCTCTGACTGCAAGTAAAGCCCATTCCTCCATGTCCACAGCTTGATGCAGAGAGAAAATAGCTGGATCCCTCTTAATTCGCTCAGACATTCCAGCAACAAATGTTCTCCAAACACGTCTGAAGGAGAGAACACCCCTTTGGAGGCCCACGCCACATTGCTTTGGGTCCTCATTTTGTTGAGAGTGGGCGTGGGGAGGGGAGTGCACACAGACATTCCTGGCATTCTCCTGCCCTCCTTGGCCCCCATCAGATGGCGTGGGAGATCTGAGGAGCTTAGGGTAGCCTCAGCCCTGCCCAACTCCCTCTTCCAGTGTGTCCTTGTCATTCCCAATTGTCACCCGGGCCAAAAATAAACGAATGAAACCAGGCAGCCAGAAGCCCAGGCTTAGTCTTGGGCTCCCTCCCACCCCAGAGCCCCTCTACTCCTTGGGGACCACACTCTAAGGAGCAACACTAAAGGGGCCCCCTGTAAGGGGAGACATCTAAGGGAAAAGGCACAACCAGTGCCCATCGCTCCTGCCCTGACTACAATTTGGCACTGACCTCTGGAGCAGACAGCTGGGGCACCCGGCAGCCAGCCCACCCTAAGAACCGAGGCCCGCCGGCTGGTGGTCCTATTCTCCCTGACCTCTTTCTGGTGTTTAAAGTGAGACCTTCACAGGGTAACGGCCATTCGCATGAGTTTGTCTGGGCACCCTGGGGGTAGATGCCGCCAAGCTGTCCGTGTTTGAAGCTGGCTTTCGTTTTCTCTTCTGTGGCTCACCTGCATCCACAGCTAAGTCCTGGGGACTCCCTGTGCATATCCTCTTTCCCTCAGCCTCCTTCCCTGAAAGGCAGACTTTGAGCAGGAGGGGATATGGGTCCATAGCATGAGCCAGGACAAGGCTTCATGCTCAACCTCTGGCAAAGAAGGCCACCTCCCATAGTCCTCCTGTGTCACCTGGTCTCAAAGGCTGCTTGCTGTGTGGGAAAGTTCACTCGGCCTTTACCTTTGCCTTCCCATGTGACCCTCAGCACGTCCTTCTGATCTGGTAGCAGGTTGGACTACGTGACCCATTGGCCGCAGCCAGCCACCGCCAACCACTGGGTACATTTTCTCAGGAAATAAGGAGAGCAAGGGAGGCCCTGATCCTCCATCTGACACCAAGTATTTCTCCTCATCATGCTCTCCCAGCCAGAGGGCCCTTTCAGTATGAGCCTTGAGATGGGTGGGTGGTGAGGGGTGCCATATGACTTCCTCCTCCGCCTGACGCCCCCTCCGCACTAACAGGAACATGGCCTTTCCTGGACAAGCACAAGGGCCTGCAGCAATGGAGACAGAGGTCTCCCACTGCACCTTGTGCCAGCGCCTGTCTCTACAGCTTCCTTAAGGGCGGTACGTCCACCATCTGACCACAGCAGGCCTTCCTTGATCTCCTGACCACCTTGGGCCACTTGTGCAGAGGCAACCACAAAGCCAGAGCCAGTCAGCGGGGGAGCATGACACCCAGGCTCTGTCCAGAGCATCCCCAGTATGACTCAGAGGTCACTGGCCTATGGAAAGCATCCAGACCTCCTTCCCTGAGCCAGCTTTTGCAGAAATCTTCTCCAGGCACAGCAGGCCCCAAATGCCTTAAGACAATCTCTTTCTAATCTCTTAATCCAGTGGTGGGAGCCATTTTCTATTAAGGGACACTGACTTCAGTGGAAAAACAAAATCATTTGAGGACCATATCATTGTATAAAATTAATTTCTGTGTGGATGCTGCTGTTTCTTTTTAATTAATAGAGGTGTATAAAGCATGAAAAACACCTGGTTTTTAAAGCAGGACAAAAGCTGTATAAAATAAGCACGAGCAATACAGTGTTGCTGAAATATATCTTCCAAATTCAGGGCACTTGAGATGATGTGACTTGAAAGGAAATGTGAAGGGATGAGACAGTGAGAAATGGTGGTGGGAAAAGAGAAAAACGAAAAAGACAAGAAAAAGGGGAAGGGAGGAGAAAGGAGGCGGGAGGGGGAGGGGGAAGGCCTTCGGACCAACCTCGCACGCAATCCGGACTCTTGGGCTCGGGGCTTCCGCCTTCCCCACCAGGCAATGCTGGCTTTCAGATCACTCCAGGCTACAATGATGAGCCTGCTTGGCTCGCTGTTGACTTGTATTACATTGTGCAGTCTTCACCAGTGACGATTAGGTGTTTTACAGATGGGAAGATGAGACCCTCACCTCCCCTGACCGCAGTTTTGGGGGTCTCTTCTCTTCTCTTCTCTGGACTGCTCCCATGCACATCTGCCCATGGCCCAGGAGCTCAGCCTTGGGGTCATTTCTTCAAAGAGCTCTTCCGGCCACCTCCTGGCACTCTGTTGCATCACCGTGCTTTGTTTTTTTTTTCATGGCCCTTACCGCCACACAGTGTTTTCCTTGTTCCCTTTCTTGATGCTAGAAGAAAATCACCATGGAAACAGAACATCATCTGTCTGGTTTACTACTGTATCTCTAGCATCTACTTCTGATATAAAGCAGATACTTAAAAAGTGTGTTGAATGAATAAATGAATGTACTGCTCCCTCTGCCCCTAGCTGTTAGAGAGACATTTTCACAGAGTCAATACATCAAGCTCTGTGTTGCATTTCCCATGTAAGATCTAATCAAAACTCCTCACTTTCAAGAGCTGATCAATGCTCTTGGCTGAGGCAGTAGATGGAGACAAATGAGGTGTGAACCCAAACTCAAGCTGGACCTTCTGAAGTTACAGAACATAGAAGGAGGGGAAGGGATGCTCACACAGTATTATAATTCTGAATGGAATGAAAAGGAACACACCAAACACATTCAAAGGAAGAAAGGATGTCTGGCTGGGTAATCCGTAGGGACCTGAGCCCACAGGGTATCACAAGGGGCAGGAGCCAGGATGAGGTTCAGGCTCACTGCAGCAGGGGCTGAGCCATGGTTACCTCGCACGCAGAGCCTTCATGACCCCCAGAGCCAGGCCAGACTGGAGCGAGCAGGAGCAGAGATGGGAAGGACACAGGACAAGGATGGAGAGAGAGCTTGGAGCAGATTCTTGGGCTGAACCTGGAGACAAAAGCCCAGCCCTGGGCACCATGAGCCAGGTCTTAGCAGGCAGGTGCAGCCCAGCTCCTTGGGGGCAGAGGAGGGAGGGTGGTGGCCCCAGGGGCAGGCAAGAGGGGGTTAAACTCACTTCTCCGTGGGGGCACATTTCCCTCTTTTCAAGGTCTGTCAAACACTCAGCCAGCATGCTGTTTCTCAACAGCAGGAAATGAAGCAACCGTTGTTTGAGAAAACATCCTGCCTTGATGAAGGGTAAGGATCCAGGCTGTGTTCATTTCTCTGTCACATTAATCCTGGTTTTAGAAAGCAGTTCTCCTGAGGAGGCTGGTGCATCTGGGAAGGGAAAGGGACTGGGAGCCTGGGGACAGGGACAGGGACTGGGCGCCAGAAAGAGGACAAGCAGGGCAGGCGGGGCTGTCAGGAGGCTACAAGGTGGAGCAGGGTGCCAGGTGAGGGAGCAGGAAAGAGATGGAACCTGGCTTGAGGGGACTTGGGGGTGGGGCTTCAAGGGAGGTCACCAGGAACAGGATAGTTCCTCTACATCCTCGCTGCCCACATTTTGAGGCCATAGACTAGGTCATACCCCAGCATGGGGACCAAGAATGGTAGACATTTATTCCAGTTCCTTGTCTTGGGTCCATCTCTGTAAACACTTACCACACTGCATTATAATTATGGGCTCCTACAACTTCCCCCTGCACGCGCTCAGACCCCGTCCCACTCCAGGGTATCCCGGGCTTGTGTCACGTGAAGCAGAGCCTGGGGCTCCACAAATGTGGGAAGGAAAGAAGCAGCTGCTGCTGCACCTTCTCAGCTCCTCCACCTTGGCCTGGTCTCTAGAAGTCAGGCTTGGGTCCAGGCCTCTTGCTGTTCTCTCCTACATGAGCTCATCCTTCCCAGGTTATCAATAGGATCTGCGTGCTAATGATGCCCACACCTATCTACCTCCTGCCCAGGCTCCCTCTGTGCTCCCGAGGGGTAAACCCACTGGCCTACTTGCTGTGGTACACAGAGGAAGCAAACAGCTCGATGTGCCTGAAGCAGACCTCTCTGCGGTTTGTGTTCTCATTTTAGAAAATTGCCACAGCTGTCCACATGGCTAAAGGGAGGAGCCAACGTGGTTCCAGTTCTTCCTCCCTCACCCCTTTACATCCGTCTCATCAGTGTGCTGACTTCCCCTGGAGAGAATGCCTAGAATCTGCCACCTTCTCTCCACCTGCATGGCACCAGCCTAGTTTAGGCCACCAGATCTCCTGCTGGACCTAGTTAATACCATTCATATTCTGGCCTCTTCCATTGCCTCACCCTCTGTCTACGCTCTACAGAGCAGCAGGAGTGTCTTTCCAAGACATAAATTCTGTTTTTTACTCCTGCTTAATCCAATTGCTTGTGAAACCAGACCACTGCATGGTTTACAAGAGCCCCCATGACTCAGACCCTACCTCTCTGTCCACCCCGGCCCTTGCCTCTCTCCCTGACCTCAGCGAAGGCTAATCATGTTGGTCTGCTTGTTACCCGTTTTTCCTTCTCCCTCTGGGATCTTGCACGTGTATTCCCTACCTAGCTCGTCTCACTCTCCTCAACATGGCAACTCCCTCTCATCCCTAGATGACAGCTTTAGTTGCTCCACCGAGGCCTCCCGGACCATTCTAACTCCAACAGTTACCCAGCTCAGCCAGCCCTGGGCATCTAATGGGGGTCTCATCATCCTTTCCAGAAAACTGGGTGCGCACAGCCTTGGGTCCCCAGTGACTCTCACAGGCTCCTCTTCTTGTCCTCCTAAGCCTGCAGGCATTCACCTACCTCCTCCCTTAGTTTAAAATTTTCTCAAAGCTCCTCACATGTGCACCATGTTTTGACATGTGTTTCTCCTCCAAAACTAGTTGCAGAACTAGACCAAGAGTGGCCACCCAGTTTCTTGCTGTCCTTTTCCCTTTCCGGGTTTAAACACTAACGTTGCAGGGGACAGGGAGGAGAATGGAAAATAACTAATTCCGCATATTTTGACATGTACTTCTCCAAAACTAGGTATTGCAGGGGATGGGGGTGGGGGGATGGAAAATAACTTACAGGAGGAGGTGGCGGAGCCCAGAAACAGACTAAGTTTTTACAGTCATGGTTGTTGATCTATAGTTAGGCTCTGATTTCCTTTCTTAGCAGGAACTATATCAGGTATGTAGGACAGTCCCAATTGCAATTCTTGCATTCCATTGTCAGCCAGCATCTCATGAATTTCCCTAGCACAGTCACCGGTCTTTCCCCTCCCCTTCTTCCTCCTCTCTGTCCTCCTCTCTGTGTCCTTGAGATGACAGCCTTTCGTAAGCAGCCCCAGCCTCAGTGTTCAAACCCGAGGCTGGCTGAAGTCTTAACATCTCCCTGTCTTGGGGCAAATTAGTGTGTCCTCTCCAAGCCTCAGCATGCTCACCTGCAAGAGAGAGAAAAGGCTGACATATCCACACCAGGATTTGGCACAGCATGCTGGCCTAAGGTGCTGATCACTCGGCACCCATAAAAAGCCATTATCCCCCACCCCAGGGTTGACGAATGGTGTGAAATCACTTTTTAGCCAAACGATTCTTGGGCTCCTGTGGGTAATATAATGAACCAAACAATGTAACCATGCAATTGATATGGGTATCAGATGACTGCTTTGTTCTCTTGGTTCTCCCACGGCCTGGGAGACATCTGTAGGGAGGGAGCTCTCTCTTTATGAGAAGGGCCTTGCCAGTTCCAGTCACTGGGGAAAGGCTGAATCTGTATGGAAGCTAAAGCTCTGAAGACTGGCCTTACAGTAGATGGGAGAGGGCTCCTCATCTCTTTGTTTAAAATATCTTGGTTTCTCATCTCTGGGAAATGGATGAGGCTGAGGAGAGCAGCTTAGAAAGAGATTGTGGTAGACAGAATAATAATTCCCCAGAATGTCCATGCCCTAATTCCCAGGACCTGTGAATATGCTACCTTACTTGGCAAAAGAGACTTTGAAGACGTGTCTAAGATGGGGAAGTTCTCTGGAATTACCTGGGTGAGCTGCATATAATCACAAATGTCCTTATTAGAGGCATGTTGGACAAAGAAGAGGGAAGTGACAATGAAAGCAGAGTGCTTCAAAGATGAGGGACATGGCCAAAAGTCAAGGAATGCAGGCCTCTTGTAGAAGGTACTGTATACATGAAACAGATTCCACTTTGGAACCTCCAAAAGGAATGTAGTGCTATGGACACCCTGATACCATGATGCTATCCTTATAAAATATTGGATTTCTATTTTTGTGGATGACATGATACTCCACGTAGAAGACCCCCAAAACTCTACTAAAAACTGCTAGATTTAATAAGCAAATTCACTAGTGTAGCTGAATACAAAGTCAATACACAAAAATCAACAGCCTTCCTATACACAAATAACAAATTCACTGAGAGAGAAATTAAGGAAACAGCACCTTTTACAATAGCATCCAAAAAAATGAAATATCTAGGAATCAATCTAATGAAGGATGTAAAAGACCTCTACATTGAAAACTACAGTACTCTGAAAAAGGAGATTGAAGTGAATATCATAAAATAGAAAGATATCCCTTGCACTTGGGTAGGAAGAACCAATACAGAGAAAATGGCCACACTTCCAAAACTGTTATACAGATTAATGCAGTCCAAATCAAAATTCCAGTAGCATATCTCACAGAATTAGAGAAAACAATTCTAAAATTCATTTGGAACCACAGGAGACCTAGAATAGCAAAGGCAATTCTGGGCAACAAAGGCAAGGCAGAGGCATCACAATCCTTGACTTGAAATTATACTGTAAAGTTACTGTTATAAAAGCAGACTCAAGAATCAGTGGAACAGATTAGAAGGTGCAGAAACCATTCCAGACATACTCAGCCACCTTACATTTGACAAAGGTGCCAAATACATTTGCTGGAAGAAAGATAGTCTCTTTAATAAATGGTGCTTGAAAAACTAGCTCTGCATATGCCAAAGATTAAGATTGGACCTATATCTTTCACCATGGACCAAATTAAATTCAAAATAGATCAAAGATCTAAATATTAAAACAGAAACATTAAATCTGCTGGAAGATAGAATAGGTAAAACTCTTGAAGACACTGTTGTAGGCAAAGAATTTATGACTAAAACCCCGATCACACAGGAACTACCACAAAGAATCAACAACTGGGATCTCACCTTATTAAAAAGCTTTTGTACAACAAGCAAAACAACCAACAGAGTGAAGAGACAACCCACAATGTGGGGAAAAAAATGTTTGCCAACTGCTCCTCAGACAAAGGTTTACTACTGAGAACATATAAAGAACTCAGAAAAATCAGACCTCCCAAATTTAAAGACCCAATCAAAACATGGGCATCG